CTTCATTCTCTTCTCCAGTCCACTCGAGATTTTCTTACCCACATACGGTAATTGCCCAGTGTAATCTCTATTTATCTTCATGCAGTGATTTTGAACATACACACGCACACCACAAAATGTTTATCCTTGAACAGATGGGAAAAAAATTTATGCTGTGATTTTGAACACACACACGCGTACATGAATGCCACAGAATAGCAAACCTTCATATGCAACAGAACGTGGTGAGGCTGTGATTTTATTGACTGAATGCCACAGAATATATACCCTCATATGCTAATGTCAAGGAAATGTTCATAAGTGGAAAAGTAAAAATAGGGTTGTTAAGCACTGTAATTGGCCCAATCTGTTTGCTTTGATGTTGATATGGTTTGAGACATTTGTTTGCTTAACAAAATTTGCTGTATCAAGCCACATCCCTCTTGGCTTAACAATTTAGTATAAATCTTGTCCAGCCAATTTGGTCGCAACACACGAAAGTATGGAAGGCGTGAGTGAAGATCCTTTCTTGCTGTCCAATAATGAGATAGTTGGGGACAATATCAACATTGTGGACAGAGCTTCCGACATTGTGGACAAAGATCGTTTCCTAAGATCTTCCCACATTGCACACGACCTCGCCCAGTGATGTCAAATCACAATGATGACGAAATCTCATATGAGAATTGAAATGGGAGCGGAAGCCAATGCAAAAATTGGTTGTTAATTGGACAGGAGTGGTTGAGGTATTATCATCCCATGTGGAGTTTTATAAACATATGAGTGGAACTCGGTTTTATGTCATTCGTGTGTAGTGGTCAATCTTCATGTGTATTGCTAAGCATTATCGATCAACGCGGGTTTTTTCTATCATTATCTATGACTATTATTCATTTTCAGATCTTGGTGGACCTTTATAGCATTGATTTATATTTTATGTAATATGGAATTGTAATCAAAGTTAAGTCGTTTCTTGTGAGGTATATGGTCAATCTGATTGAATATAAGCCTATTTCTTTTGGCACTAGCAGCAGAAGTAGTAACCAAAGAAATTCCCAAAACTTCATCTATTTGCAATTGATTTGGTGATAAATCAGCGGACATAATTCAATACATCCAATTCCAGAATCTGATAATAACAAAAGACGACGTCTTCCTGAAACAGAAACAAATGCCACCAGAAAATTCGAAACAATTCGATCATTAGACACCATAATCACTAGTTTTAAAGAAAAATAAATAAGATCATTCGAAACCCCATAAATTTTCTCACAATTTTGACTTTTGAGGACACCACTTGAAGATAAGAGACTGATTTTGTGCTCCAAGGCATCTCTAGTTAATCTTGGTTCCAAGGCCACTAATGTGGCTGATGCTGCCTTCAATAGTGTGGCGTATGTGGACGGTAGTGAAGAAGAGTGCGGCATTTGCGGACGGTGGTGAAGATGAAGGAGGCGATTTCACTGTGCGTTCGGGGAAACCGGCAGCTTTGTTGCGGTTTGGGCACTCGATAATATGACAAAGGCAAAGATGTTGGGTTATTTTTTGTTCGACGGATTGACGGTAGCCAGAGTTGGGGACGAAATCGCCGATGACATCAACAGTAATTAATGGATGAACCATGCTACAGTGCCAGCGTGGTTGACCGCGGGATGACCACACACACAGAGGAGGGGGTCATATTATTTTATTATGGGTTGGGACCCGCGCCGAGGCTGTGAGTGTGCGGTCATCCCCGCGGTCACCGGCGCGGGTCGTTTAGCATTATTCTTAATGGATTTAGTTCGGTTGGCGTGAGAAAGTGGGATATTTTAATGGAGGGTTTGTCTTGTTTTGGTTTCAACATTCACGTGGCTTCAACATCATTTATTATTATTTTATTCGAAATAATGGTTGACACGTCATCTGGAAAACTTCTATGAAGTGCCTTCTATACGCATAACACGATTCTTTACACATGGTGTGAAATTTGATGTCAACAAAACAATGTATAATGAGCATTATTCTTTTAATTTCCATCCTCGCCCTACACTCCCAAAAAATTTATGTGTGCCAGTTGCCTACCCTATGCATAGTCTGACCTAACGTAGTCGAATTAATCTACGTGTACATAGATGTACAAATAGATGTTCACATAATGTGAGTGAGGTGGGGCCCGCGATACTGTAGCATGGGCCCCACCCCACTCACATTATGTGAACCTCTCTGCGTACATCACATAGCATGACTCAACGTAGTCTAGATGAGTTGTCTCAAATTTACTATCCCATGAAAAGTAAAAACAAGGCTTTCATATGTTAGCCCCTGTTTGACACTCATTTTTTTTCTCTTTCTTCATTTCAACCACACATTCTATCAATAAAATAATACTATACATAAACTCAAAAATTCTCATTACTTTTTAACCACATATTCTTCCATCAATCACTATTCCAGAATTTTTTTTTTGTCAAAAATGGGTGCCAAACAGGGGCTTAATAATCCTAAAGCTAATTAATCCATTTTCAGGATCATTGTTTATGCAGAGCAAAAAGCTTGTTTGAATCCATATTTAGCTAAATATTAAAAACTACAACATTAGCTAAATATTGACATATAGCTTGGTGAAGGTTAAATATTTTATCCATATTTCGGTGGGTTCGATTTTCCCAACTGTCCTTTAAGTTCTTCAGATTGACTTTTTGGAAATTTTGCACATTAGTCCTTTATCTTTAGCACCTACTAAAAAAATTATATCCAACCTTAAAAATAAACTTTTCAATCCCAATCTTTAGTTCCATTAATATATTTTGTCCTTTTAATATAATTTCATAGACGTTAGTTTTCTCATGCGAGATACAAAAGCTATTTTCTTAAGGGTGGCAAAATACTATGCTTCATGCCTAACCGAATCTTTCAAGCCTTTTTTTCAATTTTCAAACTTTAAAATAAAAATAGTTTCCTTGTTTTAAACAACTCTTGTTAAATTTTAGTTTGATCCATGAACATTTTATGAAAAATAGTGTGGAAAATATTTGAAAAAGAAGATTATGCACCTCGTGACGTTTGTTTGCAAACTATACGAAAATTTGTTTAAATTACTTTCATATTTTTGTAAATGGAAAATTATTATTTATGTTCAGAGTTGACAATCTTGAAGTACTATTTATCAAAGAAAACCAAAAATAATAATGTGTTGCATTATTTTAAGAAAATGAATAGTTGTTTCTCAAATGCTTAATTGCATATAGCCCATTTTATACCTCTAGACAACCACTTCACGCCTCTAGTTAGAATATAACGCATTGCTAAAGTTTAACATTCACAGAGTGAACTTTATTATTAAAATGTGTGCATATATAAGCTTTGATGTGGTATGTAATATTTGTAGTTGAAATAAGATAGACGAAAGAGATAATCAATTGAAAAGTGATTATTATTTCGTATCCCACAATGATGTGGTACTTCAATGGAGGAATGATTGTAGGAGATGTGTCACAGTCAATTGAGATAATTCCACTGGAAAGCAAGTCTGTTACAATATTATACGTATGTGATGTAATATCGAGTATTTCTATTATATACGATATTATGTTCCCTTTCAATAGCTACTTGGCTATTATAATGAATGCAAATAGCGGGCACGAGTTTTATCCAAGTATGAATACCCTCTAAAAAAAGTTTTGAAGTCATTCCAGCTTCTTCAAAAGTTAAAAATACAGATTCCATTGTAGATATCACTGTTTGTATATAGGATTTTCAAGATGTAATTACACTTCCAACACTAAACACGTCAGGATTTGATGTTTAGTGCTCGATATTCAATTTGCATAGCAATAACCTTCAGTACCTAAAGGATATCTTGCATAGTTCAAACTGTAGTCTTTACACATCACAAATATCTCAATACTCTAAAGATAGTTTCCAATGGTCTGGACCAAGATTACTAGCATACAACCAAGCTTACTCACCACATAAACCATGTCGAGCTACATACAGTTCATAAGATAAATCAGACTTCCTAGAATAATTCCAATTGAGATATTGTGCTTTCAGAATTCTTAGCCAAACAAAGATTTATATCTAAAGCACTACTAATATTGTTCTCTTGAACTCATCAACTACTTTCTCAAAATAATGTACTTAAAATAATATTTTACCATTTGATATCCTAGAAATCTTTGCTCCTAAAATAACATCCACAACCCCTATTTGTTTGGCAGTTTTGACTTGTTAATAAAATGCATATCCTCAGCAAAAACCTTCATATACACCCTAATCATGGGAATTTTGGACTAGTACAATATGAAGTTAGCGACTTCGTGTTGAATGTGACACATATGACCATTGCATTTTTCTTAGAAAAGAAATAAAACACCGGCCACAAGCCACCAATGTCTTGGTCTACCCTAGAAAGACCCATGCCATGCCTTACCCATACAAAAACATGAACTCAGATATGCGGACATAATCCACTTTACATCTCTAATAAAAAATATGTACAATGTATAGATAACGCAGTGTTAAAATTTAATATACACACAGTTACCTATGTAGTGTAGACGAGTGTAAAAGTAAGATAAAAGAAGAGACGAAAATATAAACACAGAAAAGCAATGATTTTATAACAAGCGATAAGTTTACAACACTGCACCTCCTTCCCAGAGGAGCTAGAAAATGTTCACCAAGTCAATTTCAGTTTTCTTCAAAATCAAATGAATTTGAAGAAATAGTTACAACGGAAGCAATAACAATTACTGGAACGTGTTGGAACAAGTAGAATTTAGTCCCAACCATAATTTAATTTAAATCAGGTACCTTCCAATATCAGCCATATAAGTTCTGTGGCTTAAATGAAAGGTAAGAAACAATTAGTGTAGTTTTGTCCCATTAATAGCTGGAGCAGCACCTCTAGCTGCCTTCACATAAGCAACATACTCACTGAAGTGCATGGTAAATAAGGTGCTCTCGTAACGGGTGAGCCGAATACGCTTCCGCAGTGATTCGTTGATGGTGCAATTGTAACCTGCCTTCCTAATCAATGAGTCAATTGCCTCTATTTTTGTCCAGCCTACATGGAAAAAGGTAAACAAAGAATCAACAAGTTGAGTTCCAATTAACAAAACATGTGCTAGGCTTTGTGTCTCTTCCTTCATAGCTGAAGCAATTAGCTGGCAACAGTTTGAATTTGCAAAGCTCTATTTGGACCAATTCTCTACATGTTAGGGAATAATTAGCTATCAATGTGTCGTCAATTACCTGCCTTTTCCTCTGATGTTTAATTTATTATAACATTTCTGTATTATTAAAATTTCAAAAAGAAACTATCGGATCAATTTGCCTTGGAAAAGAAAGAAGATATGGTAAGGTCAGATTATCTCATAATTGTGAATAAGAGAACGCTGTCAGTCAACTCATTGGCACATTCCTCGTTGTTACTGATAGGTGTATATCATGCGTTCCTCATAGAGTCAGATATCTTATGCAGAGTTCCAGCAAGGGACTCTTTGTAGAACATAAAGGGTTGGAACTTTTTGTGTTGCTATAATGTTACAGTTATTTTGTGCTAACAAAGAAATCGAAGCACTAGAAGTTACCTTCATGAGCAGCCACCTCAGGCAAGTACGTGGCACTTCGCCTAGTATTATAATCAGGATCTGTAAATTCAATAATCATCCCATGCTTTCCGACCTGCACAAACACACCAATTCTTGAGAACATATTATAGAACATAACAAGTTTCTTCCTGGGGATTGGCTTACTTAAGTCCTTCCTATTGAACTCACTCTGGTACAACCAAGCTTTAGAATCAAGACATTTTACCTATAAACATCACAATACAAGGGAGCATTCCATAATCCAGCTACACGTTGTAGGAGGATTATAAATGCAAAATTAAGATTAACTCGTCATAATTGAATTTACAATCTGATCACCTCATCACAACAATTTGGAAAGTATTAGTAGACCAAGGGATTAGGATGAAAAACAAAAGTGAACAATCTCATATTGCAGCATGTAAAACAACATATTTATAGAACATATTTATAAAACTAGAGGGGTAAAATATGAACTAAAGTTGTAGTGACAAAAGCAGCAAAGAGGGCTAAATAGTTTAGTCCTTTGCGTTTGAGCGTGGGGGACAACTTAGTATTGAATCATTTAGGCCATCTGAGATTGCAGTTATAGCCACTTGTGTTGGTATATTTGTTGTAGATGGAATCTTCTTTAACAAATATTTGGCCATCAAATTCAATGGATATAAACTGAGAGTCCTCATTTACACTCAGCGAGTGTAGAAGGGGGGTCAAAGGATATAAACTTAGTTTCCTCATATACATATTGACACTAAGTGTAAAAGCGCATTCGTTCATTTATAAAAGAACAATATATACTGCAAGTAGAAGCAGAGACAATAAACTGAACATTTCTAATTCTGAGGATAATTGTTCCACAATTGATTAAAGCACTTATATCCTGTCACTGCTAGCATACGATGTAACATTCCATTTTCCCCCATCATATTATTTGAAAGCAACCTGTTGGCATTTGTGGGTTAAAAATGACGTGAAATTGCATGATCATGCAGTGACCATATACCAAATCAGAATATGATGAAATATCATAAATAATTCAACATGTATGCTGTTGTCTGAATTTATCAAAACTCTCTTCTAATACACGAAGATACAGTCGGTGCAGTGTGGTACAGTGTGTGAGCACTAAGTCGACATAAGTATCATAATATACATGAACATATAGCATAAGTAGCATGATAAGCAACAATGGAGGAACATAGCATATTAATCTAGTTCTAAGATGAATGGTAAGGTACTAAGAAAGACTGCATAGTTAGACATAAATTGCACATAGCGCACACATAAAAATGCTAGGAATTGACAACTTGAAAAACTACCTCCCAGTCAAGGTAGTCACGAGCAGTTTCATAATTTGTCAGAATGGAAACTGTACATTGCAAGTAAGGCAATTCTTTAGCTTGTATTGGGGGGAATCGACGATCCCTAAGGGCACTGCAACATATAAAAAAATGAAGAATTAATTTAGCCACTGCTTTAAAACTGGTGGAAATGTAATGAGCGTATCCAGTAAGGAATTAATCATAAAATTACAACATACTAACTAAATAATTACACCAGAATATGGAGAGTAACTGGTACAAGAGCAAGAACTATTGCTGACATAGATGGCCAAATTCCATGCTGGTGATATGCTCAAAGGAATCGAAGTACAAAAGACAACCAGGGCCAAGGAAAGAATAATGTTTAGCACCCATCATAACTAATCATTGAAGAGATGCTACAAATAAAAAAAATTCATAGATAACCCATCTACCAAGTTCTAAATTTATTCCGATCTAACTCCCAAATACCCGTCTCAGCAAGCTTTACTCAATCAACATTTTGTACTTATCCAATCCTGGGAACAAGTACACTCACACACCACATGTTTTGCAGACAATTTCTAAATTACTTTATCCCAAGACACCAATGAAGACATAACTGGTGAAAATTAATAGCCGGATATACATTCTATAAATTTAGTGTAAGGAGATGGGGAATAGAATACAAGCATGTGTAACAATCGCTTAGGATTAAAATCAGTGTTGCTAATTCCTATCTTTTCCATGAGAACTAGGAACAGGCAAATCAAAAATTTCACGGAGAATTTCAGATCTCGACATCGTGCCGTTCATGGTGTTTTGCAATTAGTATTGTTCACTTCATAAACAGGTGTAAAGGATATCAAATGTAAATTAAGCTGGACTTAAGAACATGTACAAATTAATGAACAACGGAGCAGTCACGTTTCTGTTTCATGAGACACGATAGAGTTATTTGATTTACTAAATGCCAAAAAAAAAAGAAGCATGTCTGATTTCTCAGAAATGGAATGCACAAAAAAAAATTAAAAAAATGCCACCAATATTTCGAATTTGAAAATTTTAATATGGAACCACCTTGTTAGAGCATAGTCCCTGAAACCATTGATTATGCAGTGAGCTTCAAGAGTTCCAATGCATCCACGTAAGCGAGGCTCCCCTCCATTCACCACTTTCTTCCAGGTCACAAATAATGGGCTGAAACCAGAGTGTAAGTTGGTCCAACAATAAACATTATACCCACATTGTTCTGGTCATAAGCATACATTTCATATATAATAAGATAAAGTTCCATTATTTAAAGTAATTTTTACACTTTCATTAAAAAGGATAGGAAAAAGAACCAGCCATAACTGTAGCCTATGCATGATCGCATCAAAAGAACTGTTAAAAATATAGAGAGCCCATCCTTGAGATTTTAATAAGTGATTACAAGAGGATAAAGAACAATAAAACCCACAAATTAATTCAGATGACAAAGGTGGTTTATTATATAACGGGAGCAAAAAAAAGAAAATAAATGGAAAAGTAATATATTTTATCAAGAGGAAAAAAATAAATAAATAATCTGCTTTGACAAAACTTCCGTAATGGAGATACATATATAGACACAATGCATATGAAAATTCGTGAATCAACACAAACAATCCAGAAAATAATTTATATAACTAGAATTCTAGATGCAAATTTTATTTTTTACAGAAATTACGGAAAAAAAAAAAGAAGAGAAAAACAGATACGCAAAAGCATAATCATCTAAATGATTGATTAAATATATTCCAACAAACCCCAGAAAGAGTATGTGCAAAATCGTAATATCATCAAAAAAATTGAAAAATAAGAAAAAACCCAATAATAATCCAACATAATAAATGAATATCATACTGTTGACCCTCATCGAAGGCTGGAGGAGGAGCTTGTTCGCTGTTGTAGTGAGCCACCAGCGTGTCAAAGCAGTAAACGGCCATTTCCCTATTTGCCGACACCATTTTTACTTAAATTTAACTCTCTACTTTTCCTTCAAAATTCGCAGCAGTGTCACTGAATTGAGTTAGATAGATCTGATTTTATGAACGCAATAAGAATTTGACGAATAAAATAAATAAATTATGAAACGTAGAATTTTGGGGATTCTTTATAAATTAATGGTGGAGCGAGGGACGCCCTTTTGCTACAGTTCCGAGAATAATTGAAAGAGGAAAGCAAGCGCAGCAGCGCTTTATGTCACCAATTATGGAGTTAATTGTTTAATTAGTCATTGAACTTTACCAATCCTCGAAGACTACCCATTGAACATTATAGTGCTTCCAAATACCCATTGAACTCATCTCCGTTTCACCTAAATGGCCACTGAATGGATTCCATCCGTGAAGAACTTGACCTGGAAGACGGAATTCTGAGTTGACTGTTAAAAATGGTAACCTACATGACACGTGGGCGGAAAATCTCCCAAATAGCCCCTTACCTACAGTGAGCAAATGAACTCGTTAATGAGATGGCCAAAATCCGAGTTCTCATTCATCCTGAAAACGGTAGCCCTAGCCCCCAAATACAATCCAATCAAAAAATCAACTACTCCAACTTCGAAATTTCTGCCCATGGACTTGAAATCCGGAAACCGCAATCCCCAAATCGAGCTCGAACTGAAAGGGAAATCAATTTTTGCGGTTTCCGGCATCGATTTGCAAGGTTTAGAGAAGGTTGCCAGAGCACGCTTGACTTCACGACTCTTACAACAGTTATTACGAATCTCAGGTCAGTAGTTGCATTCACTCAAACACGAGTTGAGCTACGGTTGAAAAGTTTACTTATATATAAACATGATTATGTAAAATAAATATTTGAAATTCATCTACATTTTCATTTTCTTGCCCAGTGACAACAAACATTGAAATATGTTGACGTATTTCTGAATTAGTTGCTGATTTGTGCACGATAATTGCAAGGGGGAATGGGCAAAGTTTGTTTCTATAAAGACCTTGGCTTCATAGGATAACTATCAACTCAAGTTCTTTTTAGTCTTTTGGAGGACTTTATTGTTTTCCAATTCTTGAGATTTTTTGCATGAAATTGCTTGTTTTAAGCTTTATCTTCATTCAAATGTTCTATGGTTGGAGGTGAAAAGGTTTTACAGTCGAATAACTCTTACTCACTGTTTGTCATGTGCAAACACACCAAAACGTTTTACATTTGTTGAATTCATTACAGAAATGAAGCTGTTACTTATGAGACATAGGTTAATTGTTTGAATTTGTGTCGTGAATACAACAAACAACTGTAGGATGGCAGGCAGAAACAAGGGTATTTGTCATAGCTATAGGATGTGTGGGCACACGTTGCCGAATTGCCCAACAAAGACACGATGTCGAGAATGTGGATTGGGATATGTGAAATGTATGGAGGTAAAAAAGAAGACAAAAAATATTGGTCGGTTATTCTTCTGTTGTACTAGAGATTGTGGTTATTTTCAGTGGTTTGATAGTCCATCGTCGTCGCAAGAAACACATGCTCAAGTTGACGTTGAGTCCAGTGTTACATCGAAGACGAAAGATCTGGTTGAAGATTTGTCAAATTTATTGAAGACAGCCGTTCAATTAAAAGAGGAAGAACAATTGGAAATATCTATCAACATAACGATTCGTAAGGGAAAAGGAGCTACCGAGGCCAAAAGGGAAAGGAAAGAAAAGAGTTCCATAATTTTCTTCCAACTACGTAATTGTATGAGTGATGCACATTGTAGTCTGTGCACTTAATGCACATGTAATCGGCACTAGGAGTTGTAGTACTCATGAGTATCGAGACTTCAATGCGATGTTGTAATAGATTAAGGTATTCAGACTTTAATGCAATGTTGTAGTAACTCGTTATTTCTTAGACATCTTGTTGGATGCATATGTTTTTTAAGTTAATCCTATGTAAATGTTGTGGCAATCTTTTTTTTTTTTAAATTTAGTTGCTGTTTATGATTTCGTTTTTTTCAAATTTCATTGGAAGCTGCTGCTATTTGTAACCATACAAAAGAAGTCAGTTGTTACACATATCATGCTGTCAAAAGTGTTAACAAGAATGAACTTTACAATTAACTACACTAAGCTTCCCTTCTTTGTTAGAAGTATCTAATCAACCTTCTCAGGCATCCTACAACTGGAGTCACACATGCAGCCAACAAAAAACAAAATTACCAATTTCTGACTACTACAAAAACTATTTTTGATTGCTCGTGTGCCATGGTTGGACTGATTCAAAAAACATCTGTTAAAAATTATATATTTTTGAATGATCTAAAAACAAAACACTTCAACTAGGATGTCGTCGTCAAAATCTTCGCATTTCTTCTTTTCTATGCCCTGTCTGCCCTCAACCGTGATGATTCCGCTGCACAATGCTTTGCAAATTATCAACCATCACTTCAAAATTAACTTCGGTTGTAGGAACGTTGACACTTGGTAAGGTGGCAACTCGACCTGATGTGAGGCCCTCGGTTTGCAAGCCCCTTTAACTCTTCTATCCTCATTTTCCTTAAACTTCACATCATATCCATTCATCACACCATATGTCCTTACTGCCTCTCGGAACTCAACTGCAGAAGTAAATAATTGTTCGACCTCAAAATGTGGATTCTTCATTCCTGAATCAAAAGAAAATTCAACCATTCTCTTCTTCGGAAAAGCATTGGGACAATAGCTCCTCCGACGAAGAATATTCCAAATCATCTACTTCAATATCAATACCCTCCGTCGGTTCATCCTCCACACCCCTATCATATCCATCCAACCCTGCTTCAATTCCATCTGTCACATTTATGTCGTACAATACATCATCGTCATCAAATGCAACGTCCTTATCAGAATCTATGAAATTTGGATCCTCAACATAACCTGTCACAAAATCAAATAGCTACTATCATAATTGAAACCTTCAAACAAAAAGAACTCACTATCGCTCAAAATGCAAAAATTAACACCTTTGTCATTGGATTTGAAGAATATAAAGTTTAACAAGTGGAATATAAGAAATCATTCTTAAGTCACGATTGATGTTAATGGAGAAGTGGGAGTTTTCTTTTTGCCATTTGATTTCCTCAAACTGCTGCTATCTGTAATGCTAAATAGCACGCGTTCACAGTACGACACAAGAGCAACAACATTGTAGAAAAATTACCTTCACTTTCTTCGTCATCCATGTGCAAGCTTGCTCTGGCGACCTTCCCTAAACCTAGCAAATTGAAATCTGTGTTCGCAACGGCTTACTGGGGATGCCGAAAATTGCAAAAATTGATTCCCCTTTCAGTTCGAGCTCGATTTGGGGATTGCGATTTCCAGATTTCAAGTCCATGGTCAGAAATTTCGAAGTTGGAGTAGTTGATTTTTTGATTGGATTGTATTTGGGGGCTAGGGCTACCGTTTTTAGGATGAATGAGAACTCGGATTTTGGCCATCTCATTAACGAGTTCATTTGCTCACTGTAGGTAAGGGGTTGTTTGGGAGATTTTTTGCCCACGTGTCTTGTAGGTTGCCATTTTTAACATCCAACTCAGCATTCTGTCTTCCACGTCAGGTTCTTCACGGACGGAATCCACTCAGTGGCCATTTAGGTGAAACGGAGATGAGTTCAATGGTTTTTGAAAGTACTGTAAAGTTCAATGGGTAGTCCGTTACGATGGGTAAAGTTCAGTGGCCAACGAAACAATTAACTCTCAATTATGCGTCACTTTAAATGTTAAGCGATGCCCATTAAATTTTAATTCATTTTTTTCTTTTATTAATTACACGTTCTTTCAATAAAATAATATTATACGTAAACTAAGAAAAATATTTTTTTATCCACTCATTCTTCAAAAAGTAGTAGGGCTAAACTGCACCTAATTTCTCAATGGTGTAATTGCTGTGGAGGTCTCCCGAGTAATTTATTTATATTGCATTTTAATCATTAGCCTTTCACATATGAGCGTAGAGGTCATTTTTTGTTCAAATTCATTTGTTTGGAAGGCCTTTATAATCGATTTAAATTATAAATCCTATCAATGAATGGTGGATAAAGTGGTAATACTTATAGGTCCTATGAAATAGAGAAAAAAAGAGTATGTTTGATCAAAATTGTTTATAATTTAAACACCTCCCAAACAAGTTTGCTTCATGAAAAAGAGTTTAGAAATGGCTTATTAGCACAAAACGTCCATACATTTGGTTTTTAGTGTGCAAAATATCCTTACATTTCATTTTTTTGCATTTTCACCCCTATTTTCACGTTTCATTGCCGAAATTATCCTTTTCATCTATTTTTTCAATTAAAAGATGTGAAATGATGAAAATGCCCTCCTATTTAAATAAAACAAAAATAAAAGAGAAGAAAAAATAAAAAAAAATTAGAATCATGTTTCCAAAATTTCAAAAGATTACAAATGAGTCCCCAATGTATAATTAAAAATCCAACCACGCAAAAAATTCAGGCTAACCACCATCTTTGAACCCTGAAAACTCCGACCAACCACCACCCAAACCATCGGAACTCCATACCATTAGACAACCCTCACTCCCCTCTACACATATCACCCAGCCACCAGCCTTAACATCACCAGATTTAGCCGAAATCTATGGCCAAAAATCATCAATAAATATAGAGACGTATCTCTTCATTCCAAAATTGTACATGAGAACTGAGCCACCGCACCTTAGGAACTATGGACAACCAAAACTCCAAACTCCAGCCACCTTGGCCATCGGACCAACATACCACTTTGAAGCCCCCATTTTCCTCTTCACAACTCATTAAACCACTGGCAACAACTTTAGCGGTTCCATTCAAAGTAGGTTGCCCACGCATCTTCAAACGGTCAAAAGTGCCATTTTCGGCGACACCCATGACTGCCCACCTTCCAGGTCGACCAAGCTCACCATTAAGCACCACAAATGTTAATATAACAGCAAACAATATAAAAAATCCATATTTCCGGCCTTTTTCTTCAACAGCGAACTCAGGCATTTCAACA